TTTCTGGTGCTGGTTATGTTTGTTGTTAAAATTCTTTGTCCCTCCTGTATCTAAAAATGGCACTGATATCCTTATATATCACACTTGGGTATCTCAGTATCACCCAAGGGGGGTGGGAGAAAAATTTGTACTTGCAGATCTCCCGTACGGTGGCTCAAGCTGGAAATAAAAGTGACTGCTGGATATGCTCTCACAGCCCAGCGCACCTACAACAAGGAATCCCAATGATCGGAGTACCAATATCCCTCCGGCAATGGGGAACAATAAACGGCGGCTTCGTTAGACACTACTCGTTAGCTGCCCATCGGTCCGCTCCTAAAGAATGGAGGGCCGCCCCTGCTAACTGGATAATCTCCCCAAGAGTAGAGGCGCCTTTCTGTTACAGATCCAACAACACCGGAGCTTATAATAAAGCCACACCTGTAGGACACTACCCTCATTGCCTAACTACTCTAGATTATAGCCCCAATAGCACCAGTGGAATCCTGTTGGGTAATGTACCCTCTCTCAATTGTACAGGATTCATGGTCTACAACTTTTCTAAGGAACCTCATGTTGCTCTCATTGCAAACAGATCGGAATTTTACATTGACTCCAATTTTACTTCTTGTAATATATCTCGGTCCAGCAGGATAACAGCTGAACGTGGTCCGTCCTATACGATGCATATTAATCGAAAGTGCCGGATATGGCACAACACCTGTCGAGATTTGAGTACCCTTTCTGCCCCAGGCCTTTACTGGCTCTGCGGAAACAGGGCTCATAAAATCTTGCCCTGGAATTGGGTGGGGGCATGCACTCTTGGACGTGTTATCCCTGGTTTTGAAATGCATAGTACAATATATCTGGAACAAGTAAAAAATTTCAACCATCACATGAAAAGGGCGGTTAACCCCTTAGCTACCAGAAACACAGGGTTCCATCAATTTGTGAGAACCTTCATACCGTGGCTTGGAGTAAGAGAATTGGAACTAGCCATAATTAACATTTCAGCCACAATGGAAGCTATGGGAAATGCCACTGCGGATGCAATTCAGGCTCTGCAAGAAGAGATCTCCCAGATCTCACAAGTAACTATACAACACCGCGTAGCCCTAGATTACCTATTGGTATCCCAGGGAGGAGTATGTGCCTTAGTAAACTCCACCTGTTGTGTCTATGTCAATCAGGACATGCGAATTGAAACTGACATTCGTAAAATCCGAAGTCAGTTAAGGGTCTTACATCAAGTGGCCTCAGAGAATACTGACTGGGGTCTAAAAGAAATGTGGTCTTGGCTAACCTCCTGGCTCCCAGATTCCGGGGCCCTTGGCAAGAAAATCCTGTATGGAATATTGTTTGTCTTGATAGTTCTGATAATGTTTTATGTCTTAGTGCAACTGATCCTCTGCTGCGTGAAAGCCAGCAGGAGAAGCTTTAGCAAGGCAAGAAAACCCACAGCAGAGTCTAGAATAATGGTGTTACAAAAGTGTGAGCAGATTGAAAGAAAACATGAAAGGCTGCATGATGAAATAGAGGGGCTCATGAGAATAAAAATTTAAAGATAAAGTGAGACTAAATAGTCTCAAAGGGGGGAAACTGTGGAATCAGAAAAAATATGCGCCTTAAACTTTGACTATTTTAGTTATAAGATGACATAACCGCTTTGTGGAGAATTGCTGGCTCTGTATAGTAGAACAGATAAGAGAAAGTGTTTGTTCTTTGTAACTCCTCTGCAACTGCTTCGCTCACCGCGGCCTTGAAGATAGCAAAAAGTATATACAACTCTGATTTGCAGGTGCAAGAAGGAGGTTTGTGAACTAACCTCGCCTCCCCCATTAGTTCCCATCCTGATTACAGCAAAGAAATAATGAAGTAATGTTATAGCCGCTTTTCATGCTAATTTCACTATATGATCACGTGAGTTGTAAGCAACTGTTAAAAAGTATATAAGCCTCCTGATTTTGCTCTTGGGGGGGGACCCCTTCCAAGTGCTTGGGAGATCCATGTCACTTTGGAGTCCCCCCTACAGCTGTAGTTTCTTTTGAATAAAAGCTTCTGCTGACCTGACCCAAAAGTATGCTGCGTGTGTTTCCACGACACACCTCATCATCGGCACCCCACTTTTTAAAAAGCTAGATCCACCCATGGGGCAGTTTCACTGGACCAGCTGGTGTCCTGGCTCAGTGCTGGGTCCTCCACACACTTTGAAAATGGTGCAGCTGTCGGTTCACAGAGACCTGTGTCAAAAACTTCTCCCTAGTCCCACAAGCCAAGTGTCTCACACTCATCAAAGTTGCCTTGAATGTGTCCAGTGCTCTCACTCCCTTGCCCACACTTGTGATCCTAAAGTGATGCCTCCTCCTCTTCCATGCTGGCCCTTTGCCTGTCATCTCCCTCAGGCACAGCTCTCTCCACTCTGAATCTTCACCCCACGGATAAGTCAGGGCCTGTGGCATCCTGGACTCCTAGAGCTGTTGCCTGGCTGGCCTGTTTGGGCTGGAAGCACAGCAGAGCTCGGTGGCCTGTCCTGGCTGGGCTCTCACCAAGCTGTCACACTTGGATCCCTAGATGCAGAGCCCCTGTGTGCTGCTTCTGTCCCAGGTCTTGGCAGGCTGTGGCATTGGGCCTCTCCATGGCCTCTCTGCCACATTTCATGGGCATAGTCATCAGAATGGGAGCTTGAACCCTGATGCCTGTGGCCCCTGGGACCAGCACTGCCCAGAGCCCCTGGGACCTCACTCACACCCTCTCCAGAGCCCCAACCTCATGCCTGCTCTGGGCTGGCACTACTCTGAGGGACAGGTGATAGGGGAAGCCAACAGGGGCTTGGGCTCCACAAGGGTTCGGACACCCCATCCCCTTTTGCCTTAGTTGGCCCAAGGAAAATTCAGCCCCAGGCCCAGCAGTCCATGCCAGCAGGCAGTGCCTGGCTTTGTTCCCACACCTGGCTGTGGTCAAACTCCTCAGAAGAGTCCAGCCCACCACCCCTTCCTCCTTGCGCTTGGCTTCTCCTCTGAAGGCAAAGTATCTCGCCCACAGGTGGGTGGCACGTGGGCAGGGCCCCTGCTGTGAAAGCCTGCCCCCCTGGGGAAATGCTGCTACTCCAGCCCTGAGCCTGGCATATGTTGGGAACACGGGGTTTTGCACCTGGCTCCAGCCATCCCATGGCCCTAAGATGCTATCGCTGGAACAGATGACTGCGCTGCCTGCTTGTCAGCACCGGGGAATCAGCTCACCATGGAGCTAGAAACAAGCTGGTGCCTGGCTGCATCCAGGGTAGAGCCAGCAGTGCAGAGCAGCAGAGTCCCCAGCACTAACACTAAGGCATGTCCTGCGCACACCAGTGCTCCAAACTGCCACAGGGGATGTGCAACTGCCAAGCTGCTCTGAAGGGCCAATGTGTGTCCAGAGCTTCCCCAGCTCCCAGCAGTCAGCAGCTTCATCCTCCATTTGGGGTAATCCTGGGTGACAGTCTTCCATGAGTTGATGTCCATGTTGACTTTTTTTAAAATGGCCTTGAGGATGTCCTTGAAGCACTTTCTTTGCCCTCCGCTTGAGCAGACACCTTGACTGAGATGGGAGAATAGAACTTGCTTCAGGAATCTGGATTTGAACATCCAGATGATATGGCCAGCCCAACAAAGTTGATGTTGGATGATCATCGGATGCTCATTTGCTTGCAAGAGGACATTTATGTTGGTGTGTCTGCTTCCTACTGGATTCAATGCATCATCCCCCAGCAGCATTGACAATTCTTCTCCAGAGACATAAGGTGTCTCCTATACATTGTCCATGTCTCAGATCTATACGATAAAGCAGGGATCACTAATGCTCAATAAACCATGAGCTTCATTTTGAATTTGATGTTGTAATCTTCAACCACCTGTTTCCTCAGGCATCTAAAGGCTGCACTTGCATGTTTTAGGCAATCTTGGGTTTCTACATAGACATCAACCTTCTGCAAGAGGTGGTTTCCAAGGTGTGGGAAATACTTAACATTCTCCAGAGCAGAAGTAGGATCAGCAAAGGAAAATCCAGGCTGAGATTAAACATATCAGTGATGAAAATGAGAAGCACAAGGAGGAGCAACTGGAGCAGGAGACGGTCTGACAAGCTGGTGCTGGAATACCTGAAACAGAAAATGTACAATCCAGGGGTAGAGGCAGGGGCAGGGGCAGGGGCAAGGACCTGCTGAGCCTGAGTGGTGACTGGATGATCTGCTCTGGTCTCAGCATCTCTGGACCAAGAGGAGAGCAATAGACAAAACCCCATGTGCTGATGGGTGCAAGTAGGCACACACCTCTGCATGGAGCATGGGATCTGCTCCAGGACCTTTGTTCTGGAGCACAGGCAGGATGTGGAGTACCATAGATTCATAGAAGTTATTCTAGGTTTGGCAGTCTGCAGCTCCGAACAAATCTGAGGAGCACAAGCTGCTGTGAAGATGACAGGGCTTGATCAGATGTGTCTGCATGAGGGGGGATGTAGCAGTCCCTGGCAGAAAGGTCATAGCCAGGTCAGCCTGCAACTGGGGAGAACAGTCTTTCCCCGTGCACTGCTCATGTCACTGGCTATGGCATCTCCCCCCAAGTGCAGCAGGACCAGACTGAGAAGGAGCAGAAGCAGCCAGAGGAGAGGGTGGCCCAGCAGCTGAGGCACACAAATAAGGTACGGCACCAGGTATGAGAGCACCAGCAGAAGCTGGTGCAGGATCAAATTCCTATCTTCAAGGAGGATAAGTGGCAGGACAACAAGTGCATTGCCAAGGTCAGGAGGCAGAGGATGGAGGAGCTCAGGTAAGTGGGTGGGGGCCATGCAGGAGACCCAAACCGTGGATGCTCTGAGGGGTGCTAATGCAGGGGCATTGCACACCAGTATCTGGCCCAGCTTGTGCTAGCTCTTTCTTTGCTGCTCCTTCGCTAGGTCCTGAGGCAGGCTGAGGCCCTGCGACTTGTTGGGTGATGCTGGAGTGGGGCACTGGGCCCAGGCAGTGGGTTTGGGAGGGAAGAGCAGGGTTGTCCAGGCCAGTGGTGAGAGCTGGTTAGAAGGGTTGGAGCCATTCACTTCACCATGTGTTGCCTTGAGCTGCCCTTTCTGCCCCGGCTGCCCTGAACCTCCCTTCTGCCCCTATTCACTCCCCAGATCATCAGGGGCTGAATATTCCTGCGGGTGCAACACTGCAAGCAGAGTCCATCCACCTGGGGTCAGCCATCGCCTTCAGGCTATGCAAGTGTGCCAAGGCGTGGGGCATGCATATGCGCATCCAGCTTGGCAGAGTCGGGGGAGAAGTCCCCTGCTGCCTGTCTTGGCTGGGCAGAGCTGGCGGGACAGTGCCAGGGTCTGGGCAGACCAGGTGATGGGACACCAGGCATAGCCTCAACAGCATTAGAGGCATGAGGAGTCCGTCCACCTATCCGCAAATCCTGGTGCCTAACTTGAAATCTATGGCCCATGCACTCCAGCCCATGCCTTGTTCAGTGACACAGCACTTAATTATACAATAAATTAGCATATAATTAAATTAGGACATCTTAGGGCTTGGCCACTGAAAAAGCAGAGCTCTCCGAAGGGGAGACATGCTACTGGTCATTCTTATGAGGATCCAGGGCTGCTTCTCTGTGAAACAAAAGGCAGGAGCTCCAGTGCTGGGCCCTGGGTCAGCAGAGTTGCAAGAGCCCTTTCTGCTTCCTCATGGGCTGCTGGGGAGTTGATCACCAGGGGGAGACTGCGGGCCAGGGCAGCCTCTGCTAAACATTTGCTGTCTTTGTTCATCTTCTTCAGGTAGAGGCAAACAACAGCACAGGAAACCTTACTTGGAGTTCCCCTTGCTCTGCCTGACAGAAGTGAGCATGCCAAACCTCCTCTGCATGAGTTAGCAGGGTCGGCTCCAGAAGCTAGTCTAGAAAGCATTTCAAACAAGAGCAGACCTTTCAAACAGCGGGGAGTGCTGTTGGCCCACTGCGAGGAGCTTTGCCAGAGTAGGCCTATTTGATGCCTTTAGACAGGTGGGCACATGCCCACTGTTACTTAGGGCTGTCACTCAGTGAGGCAGCAAGGGAAAGCAAGAGCATCAACTGATTACGGGGGACAAAAAAGACAAAAGGATGTACAGAAGGGTCAGAGGTTGAAAAATAGCACACCCTCGGGGGACATCGAGCATAGCACCGCAGACAGGACCCGGAGAAGTCCAGGCACTTCAGAGGACATATGAAGGGGTGGATGGCAAGAGCTGCAAGGGATAGATGGCAGTACTGTGCAGAGTTGAGTATTTTCCCTTTGCAGTCCAAGAAATGTTTATTTCTGGAGCACCTGGAGCTCTTTTACTTTGATAATGTAACTGAATTTTTCCAGCTGATGCAAGTCCCTGGGAAGCAGCAAGCTGGTGGCACCATGGTCTGGGGAGATAAGACTCTAGGAGAGTTATAAAGCAGAGTGAAGCTCCTGCAGCCCATACCTGCACAGCAGACAACACACTTTGCAGAGACGCCATGCAGTTCCTCCTGATTCTTGCCTGCTTGGGAGCAGCTGGTGAGTTTATCTGTTATTTTACCCTTCTTATCTTCTGCTTGTCCTCTGGACCCATTGAAACAAGACTAGCTTCTCCCTGGCTTTCAGCTTCTCTGTCAGCTTTCAATGCACAGGTTCTCTCACACTGTGTAGTCATTTCTTCTGCTCTTTTCAAATTGCGTGCTCTTTGCTGCTTCTCTTATTATCTTCCTCTCCATGTGTTTTCTCCCTCTCTTTCCAAGCAGTCTCCTCATGATGAAATGGAAGCTCCCCCATAGGCAGTGGCAACAGAATATGACCTTTATGGCAGGAATGAAACTCCAGAACCCTTGTCATTTCTTGCCCTGTCCAACTGCCTCTGGTCGCTGCCAACCTCCTGTCTCATCCTATGCTAGAACTGGCAGCACCCTAACAATAGGTGGTATGATGCTGATGCACACTTATTTCTTGCAAGCATGTTGGGGCCTTTCAGGAATTAAGACACAGTAGAAATGTCTGTCATTTTCTCCTTGGCTAACAAAGGACCAGAGCTGGTGAGCTCTGGTTCTGATCCTGATTTCTTTCTAAGCCAGAAGGTGTGAACCTTGGAAACTGGCGGCAAAGGCAGTTCAGGCTACTGCTAATTGACCTGTAGCTCACTAGATGCTGCAGCTTTTCAAGTCACTGGCTGTGTCTACACAAGATGCTGACTGCACAGCAGCCCAATACTACTTTGCAGTAGTGCCACATGGAAACAACCATGATGCAATGCTACTATGCAGTAGTATTCGGTTACTGTGCAGTACCATCACAAAAAAGCCATTGGTTACTGCACAATCATTTAGTACCTGTTTATACTAGTACTAAATGGCTGCACAATAATGACTGCACAGTCAGCATCTCGTGTAGATGTGGCCATTAGGTGGAGTTATCATTTTAAACCCAATTTCCCTGTTTCCCTCAGTTGCTTTCCCTGTTGACGATGATGACAAGATTGTGGGGGGCTACACCTGCCCAGAGAATGCTGTCCGCTACCAGGTGTCCCTAAACTCTGGGTACCACTTCTGTGGGGGCTCCCTCATCAGCGACCTATGGGTAGTGTCGGCTGCTCACTGCTACAAATCGTGAGTGACAGTATTAGATAATATACCGTTTGCATGTGCCTTCTGGCATTTTCTATTTCTATCCTTCTTGAGGGGTCAAGTGGCCCTGTCAATGTGTGATGTCAAAAAATATGAAGCAAGGCCAGTCACATGGATAAATAATAGGGCTGTGTGAAATTCTGCCAGCAGTTTCATTTCAACACTGTTTCAACTTGTTTTGAGCTCGAAACAGCGAAATCCAAATGAAACAGAGAGCTTTGAAACTCGAAACCTTTTGAAAATTTCAAAACATTTCAACTTGCCTCATTTTGTTTTGAGGCTGTTTCGAAGCTCTCTGTTTCATTTGGATTTCGCTGGGCTTGTCTTCAGGGAGACAGAAACTAAACTAAGGAGAGGAAGGGAGAAGCGGGGGGAAGGAGTGCTCTCATTCTTGACTGTGTAGCTGGCCAGTGACTGTCATTCTTCCCTGAGGTCTCTTCCAATCGCAGTGCTCTGGGGGAGGGATGGAAAATTGCATAAAAGGCAGCATTGTTTGAACTGCCCTGCTTTCTGCCTCGGTGTCAGTTGAGTGAGGGCATGCCTTAGCACACACACAGTGTCACCCATGTCACGAGTTTTGCCTGTCAGCAGCCAGAGGTGCAGGGGACCAGAACCCAGAAGGCCTGCACCCATCTCCTCAACAGCTGGTAGGCTTTGTGGCCTCAGCAGGGGCTAGCAGGTCTGCTGCTTTCACCCTCCTGTGCCTTAACACACACCGTGTCACCCATGTCACGAGTTTTGCCTGTCAGCAGCCAGAGGTGCAGGGGACCAGAACCCAGAAGGCCTGCACCCATCTCCTCAACAGCTGGTAGGCTTTGTGGCCTCAGCAGGGGCTAGCAGGTCTGCTGCTTTCACCCTCCTGTGTCTTAACACACACAGTGTCACCCATGTCACGAGTTCTGCTTGTCCGCAGCTTGAGGTGCAGTTTCTCCCAAACCCCTGCACCAATTTCCTTGAAACTTGACAGGCTTTGTTGCCTCAGCAAGGGCTAGCAAGCCTGCAGTATTGACCCTGCTGTGGCTTAATACATACACGTGACATGAGTTTTGCTTTCAAGATTTCAGGTGCACTTTCCGCAAAACCCCTGCACCTATCTCCCTGACACTTGGCAGGCTTCATGTCCTCAGAAGGGGCTACCATTCCTGCAAATGTCATCCAAATCAGGCCAGAAATGACAACGTTATAGGTGGTTTTGAGCTTCCCCATTATAGCCTATGGGTGAAACATCGAAACAGCGTTGAAATAGCGAAACGACACAGAAGAGCAGTTCCAAATCAAAACGAAATTTGAAACAAAATGCTGTTCCATCGAAATGTCAAAATGCTGGTTGCAATGGAACAGTGCTGTTTCACACAGCCCTATTCTCCACCTCCATCTGCTTCTGTGAATCCCTGTTGCTAGAACCAGGAGACCAGAAGTGGAGGGGCAATTGCGGGTAGAGGTCTGGAAAACCAAAATCTTGGCTCCAGCTGTGCGAGGTGGATAGGGAGATATATTGAGGTCTCCTAACTCAGCAGTACAATGAGGGACACTGGGTCTCCAGGCTGTAGCAGCAGGGCACTCTGGGGAGCAGAGGTGAAGCAACAAGAGAGAAGTCACTGACAGTCTGCCCTGCCCTCCCTCCCCTTCCCACTGGGGAACGTGGGGAGAGTAAAGTACCATGGGATGCTGAAAGACCCAGGAGTCTGCCATTAAGTATACAAACTTGCCTTTCATAAGTGTACAAATGTGAGAAGAAGCAAATCACTTCTAAATAATACCTAATTCCAGCGGCTACTATTTTGGAGTGCTGTAGCCATTTTTGGAGTGCTTCAAAGGGTATGTGTTTGTAGGGCTCGCCCTTTGAAGCACTTCAGAGGCCTTTGAAATGCTTCAAACCTGACATCTTCCAGCACCCCGAATGACTCCCCAACCCACTGTGCTGAAATGCATGTCACCACTTAGTGGACACAGCCTATCATTTAGCATCTGATTGACCGGTATGGTGTTGTACTGTTGATTTTGTAGCCGTATGGAGATAAGGCTTGGTGAGTTCAACATTGAGAAGCTGGAAGGGACTGAAGAATTCATTGGAGTTGAAAAAGCCATCCGCCATCCTAAATACAACTCCTGGCTCCTGGACAATGACATCATGCTGATTAAGCTGAAAACCCCAGCCAAGCTGTCGCAAAGTGTTAATACCATTCCTCTGCCCACTGCTTGTGTGGCTGCTGGGACTGAATGCCTGATTTCTGGGTGGGGAAACACCCTCAGTGATGGCTGTGAGTATGACAAAGTAACAGCCTCCTACCTGACTCTTCCAGTTGTAGGACCCATATACATTGTCATTCTGCCCTGCAGCATCCCTGCATCCATTCCTAAACTCCCCCCAGAGCTCTGGCAGTCTCCCTCACTCTTGCCCTGCAATATTCCATATCCCTCCTACTGAAATTGTTGGGATTCTCAACACATCTCCTATTACTTGCATTTAAATCTCTAATCCAAATATCTCCCAGTCTTTGCCCCAGATGGACTTCCTGGTTTCCAAGCTCTACCCTGACCTTCTCCAATCTCTTGGCAGATAACTTACCTGAGCTCCTTCAGTGCCTGAATGCTCCAGTCCTGACTCATGCTGAGTGTGAGGCATCTTATCCAGGAGATATCACTGAGAACATGATCTGCGTGGGATTTCTGGAGGGCGGCAAGGACTCCTGCCAAGTGAGAACTCTTGCATTGTTTCCTGCTTCAGAGATGTGGACCAGTTGCTATTGTGTCTCCCTTCCCACTGCTTGCACCAAAACCCTGACCACTGCAAAGAGAACTATAAAGAAAATACTATTTTACCATTTGGGAGAATGAGAACCAGAGAGCTCAGGGGACCCAGGAGTGAGCAACAGAGCATGTCACCATTGCATGACCAGTTGCAGCCTGGTCTCTGACTGGCAGGGATGGTCCTAGTGAGGCTGAGACAGTGACTTGGTTTCCTCCATCCTCATCCTCCATCTACCAGAGTTTGTGGATGCTGCTTCTCTCTCCCCAGTGCTATTGGGACATTCCTGGAGCTGGGTGGGAACCTTCCTGGATTAGAGTCAAAGTATCAGCTGCCCAAGTCAGTGTGTGCTTATAACCTCTTAAACCCTTTCACCCACAGGGTGATTCTGGTGGCCCAGTTGTGTGCAATGGGGAGCTCCAAGGGGTCGTGTCCTGGGGGATCGGCTGCGCTCTGCCAGGTTACCCAGGCGTCTACACCAAGGTCTGCAACTACCTCGCCTGGATTGAGGAGACCGTGGCTAGTAACTGAAGCATCCATTTTCCTCGGGTTTCGCTGAGGCATTTCCTCCCTCCACATTTATTCACCTCTGAGAAGAAACTAACATAAACAAAATCATCCTTGAGTCATGTTTGCCATTTCTTTCATCGGCTGAGCCCCTGCCTGCCCATGGGCCTCCCAATTTCTCTCCATTGCCCACCTCCTGCCTCATCCAAGTCAGGGACTGTCTTGTGTTCCCAACTCTCCCCCATGCCAGGGCACCTGAGTTCCCTCATCACAGTTTGCTCTGGCACCTGCCACCCTCTTACACTAAAGTGTGCCTCAGATTTCCCTTCAGCCCATCATGAACTCCTTCCCCATCTAGTGTGGGCCTATGATCTTAGACAGTCTCTCCTCTTGCTGCAGCCTGGTGTGTCAGGGGTCAGTATTCTCTGCAAAGGAAAATATACTCACCTTTGCAGGCCTCATCAGAGGTTCCTGGGGGACCACATATGTCTCCCTCCTCTGGACTCCTTACATGGAGCAGATGAAGATGGTTCCCCCCAATCCCCTGCTGCTTCCTACTGTCCCCTCCTCCCACCCAGCTCCCCCATAAATGCTGTCTTATTCTCTTGCCCAGACCTAGGGCACAGGCTCCTCTGCACCGTGTTGCTCATAGAGGGTCCTGTCAGGGCTTCCCAGAAACATCCTTCTCATCTCTTCAACGGCTGGAGGACATTGGGTCTCCCAGTTGATTCTTCAGTAGTTGGGACAGCCTGCAGTGCCCTCACACCAGGACATACTACTCCTCTGCCCCATGGGTCCAGCTCTAGTTCCCTCTCCTGACCTGGAGAAGTCATCTTAATTTTTGTGTTGCCATTCACATCAAAGCACTACTCTAAAGGAGTTCAATCGCAGGATCATGTGCTATCTCCTAACACTTGTGTTAATGTCCTCCATTCAGGGCATGGGCAGGCATTAATAGCAAAGATGAGCCAAAAAGGATGGCCCTGTGTCTTCCTGGCTCTTGTGACCCCACATACGTCTGCACAGGAGCATTTTGTGGCTCAAACCTGATGCCAGGAACTGGCAGCATAGAGCATCCCTGATTGTTTAAAGCATCATCTATCATTCCAAACCACCACTGTCCTCCTTAGTGAGGGGGACCTTGGCTAGCTCCACCAAAGGTGCTGAGAATGCAGCAGACCTCAGTACATGTTTTCTGTGGTGCACAGGGAGTACCAGGAGGAGTAGGCCAGCCACATTGTCCACAGGGATGAGTGGTCTACCCCGGTTAGTGGTACTGGTACCCTGTCACCAACTTCCCTCTGAATACTGTGGAGCAGTTCACTGCCAGGATGGAGGTTTCCAAGGAGTGCAGCATGGTTTTCATTCTCTTCCATTCTGAGTCCCAGCAGACACTAGTCCAGCTCCTTTGAAGCTTTCTGTCTGGCACCTCCATGTCCAGTCCTATGCAATACCCTGGAGACCTATGGAGGATGGCAGCAGGACTATTTATTTCAGCTTATTAATCTACAGACTCTTTTGGATCTCAGCCCTCTCAGGATCTCTGGCTGAGGTATTCAATGTCCTGGTCAGTGCAGGAGGACAGGGCACCAGCAGCTGGCCCATACCTCAGCATGCTCCTATCATACCTCAGGGACCCTATATTTAGAAAGATCTTCCCAGAGCCACCCATCCTAGCCTTCAAACAAACACCGAACCTCGCTAACCTCATCACCAGAAGCAAACTTCCTCAAGCCCAGAACATACCAAAAGGATCCAGACCGTGCCATGACAAGAAATGCAAAACCTGCCAACACATCTCCACCACCCCCACTGTTACCACACCCCACAACAGAGCCATCAGCATCCCTGGATCTTACAGCTGCACCTCCAGAAATGTAATATACCTCATCCAATGCACCAAATGCCCTGATGGAAAATATGTAGGAGAGACCAAACAACAACTGCGCACCAGAATGAACGCACACCGGAAATCTATCAAAGACAGAAATACCCAGTTACGGGTGGGGGCACATTTCTCACAAGAAAACCACTCTCTCTCCAATCTCTCAGTCCTGATCCTCAAGGGAAACTTACACAACACGTCCCAGAGATGAGCCTATGAACTCCACTACATCAACCTCCTGGATACTAAAAATCATGGACTAAATATAGACATTGGATTTTTGACACATTATAATCTGCCTGACAACTGACTCCCCAGCCCAGCCTCTGGCTTCTTTACTTTTTATTCCATCCAGGAAGAGCACACACCAACTGCTGACACTTTCTTAGCCTGACGAAGGCTTTTTGAACCCAAAACCTTGCTTACTAACTATTCTCCAACTGTTTGGGTTGGTCTAATAAAAGATATCAGATTCACCCAAGGACCTTGTCTGCCTATGTCCTTAGACCAACAAGGCTACAACCTACACCCCTCCTATCATACCTCAACACTGAGTTTAATTTTAGTTGTCATCAGTGCATCTACACCTACTGCTAAGTGGGTGAAAGCCTCCAGCTGTTAAATGAATGTCAGGTTCAGACCCTACTACTACTTTCAGCAGCAGCTGGAGTTTAATTGCAGCCCTGCTGGGCTGTGGCTCGTACCTGGTCTTGAAACTAAAGCACCTGTAGAAAATGCAGTGAGGGTCTAAATATGATTCTGTGTACTTGTCTGTAATGTGGTGACCAAGTCATGGGCAGTGGTGGCTAGGACAGGGGCTTACCAGAGTGATCAATCCTGGTAATGTGTTTGAGTCCAGGCTATCCAGCCAAAGGATGAAATGAGGTTGTGATCAGGACAAGCACCTGATCCAGGCCACAAGGTCCAAAACATGAACAGGAGCAGTCAGGAATAAATGTGAAGTCACAGGCCAGAGGTTCAGAGAACAGGATCAGGTTTAGGAGTTCCAAGCAGACTAGAAGCAGAGCAAGGAGGTCTGTTATCCAGGGAAGGATGACTCGGCTGGATTGCCTGATTACCTCCAACTGGAGGTAGATCCATGTTCAGTCCTATGCATGGACATTAGCGTCCATGTGGGCATTAACGATGCAGGTGGGAGTAGTCCTGACTGCATCATGAACGACTTCCATGAGCTGGGGGTCGGGCTCAGAAAGTTAGGGGCACAGGTGGTATTCTCCTCCATCTTTTCAGTTGGCACCAGCCAGCAGCACTAAGATGTCTGCATCAGGGTAGTCAACTGGCAGCTCCAGAGATGATGTCTTCAGGAAGGCTTCGGATTCTACAACCATGACCAGCACTTCCAGGGAGAAGGCTTCCTAGGATGGGATGATCTTCATCTCTTTCCTAAAGGTAAGCTCTCCCTCCTAGAGGTAAGCATCTGTTCTCCCGCAGGTTGGCTGAGCTCCTCTGAAGAGATTTAAACTAGGTTTGACGGGGGACAGGGAACCGGTGGTCGATGAGAACCCAGGGTTGGAAAGCCACAAACAAGGCACCAGACCTAACCAGGTAAGCACTAAGGGGAATACACATCATCAAGGCAAAATGGGCACCAAGAGCACCATTTGGGGGGGCTAAAATCATAGAATTATAGAAGTTGGGTCGGAAGGGACCTTGTAGATCTTCAAGTCCAACCCCCTGCCTGGGCAGGAGGAAAACTGGGCTCAAGTGACCCCAGCCAGGTAGGCATCAAGCCTCTTCTTAAATACCCCTAGGGTAGGAGCCAGCACCACTTCCCTTGGAAGTTGGTTCCAGATCCTAGCC